CTATTCCCTGCCCTGGGAGATGGCTGCTCTTGTTAGTCGAGTTGTGTTAGGGACCAGCTTAGTTTGGCATTTTGTGTATAACCATGCACTTTCAGATGTTTTTCAATAAACCGATTAGGGAGAAAGAAACAGCCTCGACTCCAGAGACCAGCCACGTAGTAAAATGAGTTGTGGCTGCGGGGCCCTAATAAATAGGGTGCTTCCCTGAAAGTGAACAGGAGTTACGCGACAACACCCGTTCTGTTCGCGTGACGTGCCCAGCCACCACAGCGGGTGTTTTGCTTTGCCCTTCGCTCCGTCTGCCTGTTACACCAGGAACGACCGCGGCCTCCGGCGGGGCGCTTGCCCTTCCCGGGCTGCGCAGCCTCCAGCCTATTTGGAAACGAGGAGTTGCAAGTGATGATTTGTACCGCCTGTTGGTCTGGGCGCCCACGTGGGCTGAATAATAACGTCCTGTCCACCCGGCTGCCACAGACTCACGTCTGAGAGAGGAGAAGGTGGCAGAGCCCCGAGGTACTTCGGAGGCATGGCCGGGGATGTATTGATGCAGGGGCTGTGGCTCCAGCCAGGCTGGCGGTGGCCTGCACCAACAGCTGTCACTGCTGCCCCGTTGACGTAGACTCCAGTCTCCAACAACCTCTTGTTCAGTCACGACAGGCAGCCGAGGGGAATAAATGCCAGGTATTTCCCTGTTTCTTGATCTCTGGCACCCAGAGGGTGGGGGAGAGCAGATGTTTTGTTGTTTTTTTTTTTTTTCTTCTGGTCTGCGTCCCCATGGACTCCCTGCGGTACCTCCGTGGCTCACGCTATTTCTCCTGAGCTGGTCAGCCTCACTGTCTCAACAGGAAAGCAAAAGACCTTTTGTTTCCCAGACATGCTCTTCACACAGTTCCCTCTTATTCCATATTTTGGGGATAGAGTGGGAAGCTCCTTCATATTAGAGGTGCTGAAGGACCTACTTTATTCCCCACCCTTCCAGGCATAAGCGGTGCAGGCGGATGGCATCTTTATGCTAACTGCATATATGCAGATAAGTGCATCTGCACTGCAGGTGTCGTACTGCTTTAGCAGCCTCGGTACACCTGAAGTGGCACAACTTCTGTACGCGACGAAACCTCACTGAACCACAGACCAAGCAGCAATTAGCAACGATAAATCGGCTGCAGCGATGCTCGGAGCCGGCAAGAAAATGAGCCGGGGAAGTTTTGCTGCGAGCTCTCTGGTTGATTCCCAGCTGCTGACAGTGCCGCTCTGCCGGCGCGCCGAGGTGCGCGGTGGCGTTTGCTGAAGCCAGGTGTCCTCGTCGCAGGGGGTGGCACTGGGAAAAGACCGGGTGCACTGTGGGTGCTGACCCACTGACTGACAGCTGCCAGCACCCTTGCGTCAGAGTGACATATTGACATTGGCCTCCTGCCACTGCTTTGGGGACTGGCATCTTTCTGGCAGAGGCTTTATGCCACGTGACAAGGCCTTTGGGTTTTGTTGACTTAGGTTATGTATTTTTGGCTGTGTCCTAATTGTAGACAAGAAAAGGCAGCTTCTGTTAATACAATTTTGTAGCAAAGAGCTGGCCCGAGATAAGCAAGGAGAAACATTTACCCACGCTCGTTGCTGCGGAAGGCTCCATCGCTGCTTCCTGCGAAACCGGGACCAAAGTGCAGGGCTGAAACTTTACCTTGATGGCACTTCATTGCCTGTGGGAGTACTGCTGTCAGGAGGAAGAGAATTTGGCTCCAGGAGCTTGGCTGGCAGGACAGAAACAGCAGAAGTGAGCAGGGTTGGGCAAGGAGTTGAACCTCCCCTGACCTGCTCAGCAAAGGGACTGAATCCACCGGGAAGGAGAGGGGCAAAGCTGCGGGAGGCTGCGAGGGCAAGAGGGAGCTGGTCAGCAGGATGAGACATCATGTGTAGATGGTGGAAGCAGCATGAAATCGTTACCAGTTGTAGGGGTGGAGAGGAGAGATTTGCTTTGAACTGTCTTCTAATGATTTCTGTGCCTTCGGGTCAAAGACTAACAGCCAAGTTTGTGCCTCACTTCATGCCTGTGCCTTAGAACCTGCGTGAGTCATTGCCTCTCCTCCACCCGCGCACGTCCTGGGACTCAGTTCTTTGTACTTCCATAGACGTTTCAGACCTGGCATCCTGACGCCGCCTGATCTCCAGCCCAGTGGGATAACCAGCACATGTTCCTTCAAAGAATCCCTTCAGAGCGTGTCTTTCTAGGGGGCCGGAAAAAAAACCCCACAGCTTTACTCTAAAATGATATGAAGCTGTTCGGAAAGATATAGTCTTCATACCAGCTTCCGAGAGCTCTCTGGAAGTAAAACGTTTCTTATAGTTGCCTCTTCTTGATCTGTCAAAGCGCTGGTGAGCGCTCTGCAAACTTGTCCATAAAAGCATGGCGCATGGGAGCTTTTGGCAGGAGCGCTGTGCGGCAGCGGAAGGGTTAATGGAGGAGTCAGCTGTCTGTTTAGTATGTCTCAGATGTCACATACAAATACCTAGAAGGCAGCTGGGTTGTGTGAAAGGAAATCAAGGGATTAAGATTGTAGTCCCAGCTCAAAAGCTTTTTTGTGACTTCAGGAATGCCTCATATTCCATCTGTTAAATGGAGATAATACCTATCCCACAAGCGTACCGTGAAGATTGACTCATTCATCTTTTTTAAGAGGAAATGGAAAAAGCTAGAGAAATAATAGTATGAAATACCAAGGCAGTAATGACAGAAAGCAAACAATAGCATGGAGTGTGGCGGCGGCAACGGCAGGTCAGTTTGGCAGGGAGGGCGCAGTGCCCAGCCTCAGCTCTTTTCACCCGCGCCATGACCGAGGGTGCTCTGCGCTCTGCGGCAGCCCCGGCTGCTCCGCTGGCAGGGTGCAGACCACGGCCAGCCAAAAACGCCTCGCCAAGGGACCAGCCTACGGCTCCGCCAGCTCTCCCGGGGCACCGCTCTGCGGCGCAGGCCACGCGAACGCAGGATGCGAGCGGGAACTGGCAGCAGCTTTGGCACCTGCACGGCAGGAGATGGTGGAAATGGGGCTAGGGGAAGAGTAAGAGAAAGTGAAGCTGGGCACTGTAGAGCAACTCCTTCTTTCGGTGTCCCTCAGGGGGAGTATCAGACAGATGCCTAGATCAGAGCCTGAGGGGCGCTCCCAAGTGCACAGATTTGTCTCCCAACTGTTTCCTCCTAACTCATCTGCAGGTTGAAGCCTTCTGCAACACCCCACGGGCAACATCTTAACCTGTACTCTTCATCTAGAACCCCTCATTAAAATTAGGACAAAGACAAATGCAGAAACGCTGCTTTCCTCTGAACGAGTAGCATCCAAGTCACGAGAATCTCAGCTTCTTTTCAAGCCAAGAGTGGACTGAACACGTTCCTTCAATGTTGTTTGACAGTCTGGCGCATTTGATCAAACCCAGTCAAGACGAATGAGACACGTGTTTACCCTTGGTGGGTGAGCAGACAAAAGCTGCATGTAATTGTCCTCTGGGTACCTGCCACTCCATGGGGATTTGTAATCATTTTGAAAAAAGGAGATTTTCCCCGTCACTGGAGGAGACAAGCTGGCACCTCAGCACAAAACATACCACTTAAAATAGCTTTTAACGTGGCCTTGAAAACTATTTTTGACACAGGAAAAATGTGGTGTAAGGGAAGACTGGAGTCATGTATTGTAACTGTCACTCAAAACCAAAGGCTCTATCATTTCATGAAGATCAGCAGATGTGTAAAGACACACCAGGATAACCTAACTGGTCCGCAGGCTTTGTTAGGCAGTCAAGAAGGGCTTCCTCCTATGTGCGTTGACTCACAATGACCACCTCCATTCCTGGTTTTCTCCTTTTCCTCCAAAGTCTTGGCAGGCAGAGGAAGAATGCCATTCCCATCCCGTAATAAAGCCAACTGCAGATTTGTGTTATGATCTGCAGATTAGTTCTCCATCAAGTTGCCACGGCTTCCAGACTACTTTCAGGACAGTGCAGGCTGCCCGTGCGTTCCTTGTCCTAGAGCAGACATTGTCCTTGGTGCTACCAGGCAGCAGCTGCGTAATGAAATCCACTTCATGTTTCTGTTGAGGATCCCAAATTTGTTTCTCAAGATCAAAAACGTGGAGACACACAAAAGGGCTGATGAACAGCCCTCGGGTTATTGTAAGACGGTTGTCTCCATCTGGTTGGAAGTCATCTGCAGCAGAACGAATGAGGAGCTGTATATAAAAACGCGGGAGAAACCCACGGAGGCTGTTAGGAAGGGGGAAAGCTGATCACCCCCTTTCTCAAGAAATCAGATGCAGAGGGAGGCTGTGAGGTGAGCCCTGGGGCCAACAGCACGGAGGGAGCCAGGGAAAGGCCAGAAAGGACACACGCCACGCGCGATGGGTGGTTGTGCTGGGCTGGGGGAGCGTCAGGTTCCGAGTTGGGCAGCTCATCCCCAGAAGCCGGATGCTCCTGAATTAGGGGATCAAGTCAGCCCCCATCACCCCAGATTCCCCCTCAGTTCACGACTGCTCCTTACAAGCAGCGCCGCGGAAGCATCGCTCCGAAAAAAAACCGTGAGGGAGCGGGGACGGGAAGCTGTGCCAGTGGCGGGGGCTGGGGTGGGCGGCTCTGCACCCCTGCGGGCACCGTGGCTGCCCCAGCCCCGCACCCACCGCGGTCCCTTCAAAAGCTGCACCGGCGCCCCCCCCCCCCCCCCCCCCCCCATCCACGCAGCCTCGGGGGACGCGGCCCCGCTGCAAACCGGCGCCGTCAAGGAGCAGGCAGGGACTAGGCCGCCTTCCGCAGCCGCTCGCAGAGCTGCAGCCCCCCGCTCGGCCCAGCCCAGGCCGCGGGGGGGGGGGGGGGGGGGAAACGGGGCAAGCCCGGGAGCGGGGCTGGGCGGGCTCCGGTGCGGCGGCAGGGCCCGGCGGGCGGGCGGGCGGCCATTTCCCGCCGCGCCGTGCTGCTGGGCGGCTCGCGCCCCGCCCCGCCCACCTCCCCGCCCACCGCCCCGCCCACCGCCGAAGGTTGCCGAGCGGGGGGTCGCGCGGCTCCGGCGGCCCGGCCGGCGTTTCCGGAGATTGACGAGGGGCTTCGGCCCCTCCCCGGCCGCCGCCGAGCCCGTGACCGAGGCGCTCCGGAGGGTCGGAGCCCGCCGCGCCCGCTGCTCCGGTCGCGGCGCGGGGCTCGCCCTCCTCGCTCTTCTCCTCCTCCTCCTCCTCCTCCTCCAGCAGCGCCGGGCGTCGCGGTGACAGAGCGGGGCGATCGCGGCGGGGGGCGGCCGGGGCTCCGGCGGCGCGGATGGCGGAGGGCGGCCAGCCCCCGCAGCAGCAGCAGCAGCAGCAGCCACAGCCGCAGCTCCTGGCCGGCGGCGGTGGCGGCGGGGGGGCCGCCCGCGGCGTGAAGCGGGAGCCGGAGCTGGAGCAGCCCATGCCCGGTGGGGACGGCGCTGAGGGCGGCCACAGCAAGCGGCTGCGGACGGAGGCGGAGGCCGACGGCGGCGGCATGCAGGTAGCGGGCAGGGCCGGGCCGGGCGGGCCCTCCTCGCCGGCTTCCCCGCACCGGGGCTGGGCGGGGGGGGGCGACCGGGCCGGGCCGGGCCGCGTTTCGTTTCGTCTCGTCTCGTCTCGGGGGGGGGGATCCAGCGCGTTGCGTGCGGCCCTTTCCCCCCGCTGGGAGCAGCGCGGGAAGCGGCGGGGGAGGTGGTGGTTGGTGGTGGTGGGGAGCGGGTCCCCGGCCCGGGGCGGGCGGTCCCGGGGCGCTGCCCGGCACGTGGGGCGGCGGCGGCGGCGCGAGGCCGCGGCCCTCAGGGAGCCGGCGCTGGCTCCGGGCACCGCCGGGGAGGCCGCGGGTGACGGGGCTGGGCAGGGGGGCACCGGGGTGGGGCGGGGGGCCGCCTTGGGACTGGTAAGCCGGCCGGGGGAAATCGCGGGTGCTGCGTGGGGAGGGGCCGTGGGGCGTCGGGTGGGCGTCCTGGGGGTCGGCACGGGGGCTGCCGACGGGATCCCGCGTTCCTGGCGTCTTCCGCCAGCAGCGCGTTTTGATCGCCGCCCAAAACGTTGCTCTTCCCAGGTGTGTTCGCTTTTGTGTTTGTGGGGTGATGCCGCCGAGGTATTTCTGCTTTCCTTTGTCTGGGTGTTGTACGGGATTGTTTTATTATGGCAAGTGTGGTGGCCTTTTTTTGCTTCCGTTTCTTGTGACGAGTCTATCGGAGCTCTTTGGAAGCAGTGGGATTTATTCCCCTGAACTTGTTTCTGTTCTCACCTTTCCTTGGCTTGCTAAGCGCTGCTGATAGTTTCCAACGGGAGCATCCTGTCCTCTCCAACGTGCTGCTCCTCTAGGTGCCAAATGCTGGACAACGATCTTCCCTTTTTATTTCCCAGGCTGTCCCCGGTTTGCATGCTCAAGACTTTTTTTTTTAAACATCTTGCAGCAGGAAGGTTTTGTTTGTGGTTCTGTTTGGTGTTCAGCTTTTCACGGTGATCTCTCCGCCTCACAACACTGCTTTTTCCCCAGCGTGTTGATGTAGGCTAGCGCTTCGCACCCAAGTGCTGCCGCTTGTGCTCCCTCAAGGGCCAGCGAAAACCTCACCGTGCTCTTTTATTCCTTGAAGTAGTATCTTCTCCCACATGTAGGTGTCAAGTATGACTCAGACAATGTGTATAATTGCGAGGAGAAAGATGCTCAGCGTTGAAGGAGTGCTTATACGTTGTGTCTTGCTAGGAGTTATGAATGAGTGCATGAACGTGGTGATAAGAAAGTCTTCCAGCTCTTTGGAGTCAAACCCAGGCACAAGTCCTGTGTAGCTGCAGGAGATGCACCAGTTTACCAGCTGTTAGTGGTTAAACTGGTTGGTGTTGGTATAAACCAGTGGCAAATCAACTGAAAATTGCCCAGGAAGGAACTTGAACTGGTTTAACAAAACTGTCTTAAAATTTTATTTTTTTTACTGCAGACAAGTACAATTTCTGTATACATAAGAGGCTTCCCTCTATATCTACATTGAGGAAGGCATTTTGATGTCTGTTCAATGAGTATTACAAGGTACTAAGATTGCAGCATTCAACCACGGCGCTATGACAGTGTGCGTGCACAGCAATGTGTAATACCGGTGGGAAGGGTGGTAGGGACCAATGGTGGTTCTTCGCAGAAAGTTGGGTTTTGTTTCCATATGAAATGCTGGCAAACAGTGGAGAAACTAGGTGGAGAAGTGCAACTAGTAGAGTTCAATTTTAAAGTTAAGTGTGTTTATAGTCAGTGTAACTACTCTTCAGATTGGGACCCCCATACTGTAGTTACTTGGTATTCTTAGCATAAGTTTAATCTTTCCTTATGTGTATATATGGAAAAGATTTTTCATTCTTTTCGGTATAAAAGATGAAACCAAACATACGTGTGTATATATATATATATATGCACACACACATACCATTCTGTCCAGAAGTTTCCCTTGACATTTTTACTGTTAAAGAGTGTGGTTTATTTGTTCGCTGTGAGGGTGGTGAGACGCTGGAAAAGGTTGCCCAGGGAAGCTGTGGCTGCCCCCTCCCTGGAAGGGTTCAAGGCCAGGTTGGACGGGGCTTTGAGGAGCCTGGTCTAGTGAAAAGTTTCCCTGCCCATGGCAGCAGGGTTGGAACCAGATGATCTTTAAGGTCCTTTCCAACCCAAACCATTCTAGGATTATTTATTTGGAGAATCTTCTCATGGTTGTAAGCAAGAAACACCAAATTTGAAGCCAGACTTAAAAATAAAATCAGAGCTAGGAAAAATGTGTTCTTTAATGTTTGGAAAATTCAGTGTCTTTTTACCTAAAAGTCAAAACACAGGATTGCCTTTCATGTGGATTTCTGTTCAGATAGTGAACATACTTTTTTGATGTACCTCATTTTAGAATAGCGGCCTCTTTTAATAAATTCTCTATGTTTAACTGTATGTAATGCTTACAAGAGGAATAAAGAGCCTATTCTTTGATTTCTTTTTTCTTTTTTTTTTTTTTCCTCTTCCTCCCCCCCACCCCCCCCCCCCCCCCCCACCCCCCCCATATTTATTAGAGACTTTCTGGAAGCTGGAAATAACACCAGCAACTGTTGTACCTTGTTTTTCCTGCAGATCCTGTCAATTTTCTACTTCCTGTTCCAGAGCCACAGGCTGTTGCTGTGTAAACTTGGTGACCTCGTGTCTCTGGGCTGGTAGTGAGGAGTCCTGGGGTGCTGTGCTCGCCACGGTTTCTTCTTTGCATAAGCCCTACCTACTGATAGTTCAGGATATGAACACGGCTTGTAATGCTGTAATAAATCATTTAGCTGTTGAAACTACTAGTGCAACTGTAAAACTAATAGCATTTTTGGGGGTCTGTTAACATGAAATATAAAAACTAGCCTATAGAAAGATAAGATAGTAGCCAGTTATTAAGAATGTGGAGCAAAGTATACCTTAAAGCTTAAAGTAGCCCTTAAATTTACTGGGCTTCTTGTTTTCTGCTGTCTCAGGCCAGCATGCTCAGACAGCTTATGCAGTTAGGGTTTCATTATCTAATCCATCTTTGATCAGACCGGATAAATGGTGTTTGGCCAGTGCTGATCTTGTTAGGAGGGTGGTATAAAGCTGCTTGAGTTGGGATTGGGACAAATCGGATCATGGCTGCTATTTGCTTCTGGGGCATATTTCAGTTAATCGTGGCGTGGGAGGAAAAGGTCCCACACAAACTGCTGCTTTTTAGCTCCTGCTGGTCAATAAGTGGCAAAAATCAAACGCCACCAGCCAGGAATGTCTCCTGGAAGTATTTGGATATGTTTGTAAGCTTTGGAAGTGAAAGGCCCCAAAGGTACTGCTGCTTTTTAACTGTATAAATACTAACTAGGAACTAGCTTGCTCTCTGCTGGCTTGGATGAGTTGAATCATTTGGATCAGCTTGCTGATCTGGGTAAAAATAGTCCCCAACAGAGGGAAAAAAAAAAAAAAAAAAAAGAGTTATATTGGCTTAAGTCACTTGTGAAACTGCGCTGAAATGCGGTTGTTGATGCAGCTGTATTTGCTGCTTGTCAGAAGAGGTTGACTGCTGCACAGATGGAAAAGAAAGTACCCTTGCAATAATCTCTCTCCTCCTCTGTTCCTCACATGATGAAAGATGAGAAATGTTGTGGCTACCTAGGAAGTGTCCCTCCTTTCTCTTGGGAGCTGCAGACAAGGGTGTAATTCCAGTGTGCTGTGTTTGTCTTGCCCATCGAGGTGCTAGTGGTGTGCCAGCCAGCCAGCCAGCTTACACGGCTGAAGAAAGTTATTAAAATATCTTCAAGTTGCTTTGCACGGGGTTGAATAGGTTAACTCCTCATTTGGTCCCCAAGCTGAATTTTAATTTAACTTTTTTATGGGGTGTAGGCTGGTTAGTGAATTAAAACTATACCTAGGGGTAATTGTGGTTGGAATTAGATGCAGGGTGTGAACAGAGCTGATCCTTGTTCCTGTTTCAGAAATGACTTGTGTGCTCGGTATCCCTGAGTATTTGGGGGAATTACTCTTCTGCAAGCGTGAGCGTGGCTAACTGATCAGGGAAGACACTTAATGCTGCTGTGGTCTGTGTCTCATCCAGTCCACGTAAACTTTTAGTGGCAGTGATGAGTGGTGACTTTATGTTGTCATTCAGGCATGTCTGCCTAGGGTTCATAAAGATGACTAGCGGTGTTGAGATCAGTCCCCTGTGACTAAATAATGATGTAATAGACAATAAGTCTTTGCTCTGCAAGAAAGTCCGTGGTTTCTCTTCCTACCGCAAGCCAGATGATGGTCGGTAACATCCTCTACCAGCTCGACTCCTTCCAGCACGGAGACTGGAAACTTTGAACGGCAGCGTGCCACAGAAAGGGGAGAGAGGGGACATTGCTGGTGCTTCATGACAACCAGTGTCCTCGTTCAAACTATGGCCCGTTTGTGGCCCTCCAGAGGAGGGCAAGAAATCAATCTGCTGATAATTTCCAAAGGCAGGTTTGGGTTTTACAAGTTAAGAGGGCTGACCTGAGAAGGGACTGGTGAATAACTGCCTAGGTGCTGTGGGGGACCCCATGGAAATCCACGTTTTTGAATCTTACAGAAGAGAACATCTAGTGCCAGTAAATTATGGAAAGGCTGTGTAATCAGGTTGGCTTTTTCTTCCCTCTTATTATTCATGGCATAGCCATCTTCATAAAGAGATGCAGAGCAATACAGGAACTGTGTGATATTCTAGAAAAGAAATGAAATTACAATTTTTAGAAGCTGACCCCTGACTTGGATCCAGAATGGGGTTTCCTGGGATGCTGTTTGGACAGACTATTGCTGATGTGATGAGACATAATTAATCGCCTTTAAGTTTGTTGTTATTTCTCTGTTTTCTTTTGTCCTTTTGTCCTTTTTTTTTTTTTTTTTTCTTTAAATATTTGAGTATTATGAGTTAGACCTGACACAGTCTGGGAAGACTTAGGTAGTCTCCAGTTCAAAGGAAACGTTTGGCAAACAGACTGAAAGTTGGAATTTTA